TCATACTGTCTGTATACCCCGATATAATTCTTCACAACAGTTTGTCAAGCTGAAATTTTCAGGTTTTAGACACATCTTAATTAGAAATATTTGAAGCATCTACAATTGAAAAAGACAGTTTCAAGTACATACTACATAGAGCATGACATTTTCAAGGTATTCAGTAAAGTCTGGATGTTTTCCCAAAATGGATTTTCACACAGCCCTGTATTATTTTTAGAAAATAATCTAACCCTGAACTGAATTGGTAGTGATGCCTCTGAGATGACACTTTTGGAGATTCAAAAGGATAACTATCTGGATATTTGTAGTTTGAAATCCTGTCCGTTTGAACCACTTATATCTCTTGCTACAGTATAAAAATAAACAAAGAGAGCAAAAGTAAAAAGGTTGACATTGAAATTGCTACATTACATGTCTTGTATCTGGCAGTTTTTTTAATTTTTGAGAATGCAGTTTGTCTAGACACGTTCAGATCACTGTTTTAAAGGTAAAAGCCTAAGACATAAAAATTACCAGTAATTGGAAATTCTAAAAACATGTTAAATAAAACAGGAATGCTGACAGGCAACATCTAGGACCGGCCCCATAAATATTAGCAATCATACCACACAGAAGTCACTTACTTTAGTCCATATGTAACAGTTTCCGAGATTAATGCCCTATGCGAAGGCGCAAAGTAACCAAAGCATGGCTACTGTGAAAAAAACAGCTAAGATGCAACAATGTTTTAATATAGTATAAAACAACATTCCTCTAATTACAGTAGAAGTTGTTTGAAATTCTAGAAATGTTTATTCTGCAGTGAACACTGAAAAGGTTTAAGCTGTTTCCAGTTACAAGCTGGCCAAAACTCAGAGCAAAATCTGTATCACTTATATACTCAGGCTGCCAGAAAAACCTTTCTATAAAATTGTCAGAAAAATTTTATTAGCTCCCTAACATCTCTCTCTGGCAGGCAGAAATAATTAAACTTATGCATCAGGTTAACCTTGATGTTACATGAAGCTTTTTTTGTTCACCTTACGAAAATCTGAATAAATTATGAACTACCGAAAGCTTGCATTCTCCATGCCTTTGTTGTCTACCATAATCTTTAGGGAATTTAGCAGCATCACATGAATCCAACTTTGCATACATACACGTTATGTCATATAAGCCTTTCTCCTGGAGGAAGAGAGAATCTCTTCTCTACAATGGACTACTTTCCCCATGAGAATATCCTCTGGCCTACAAAAATCTGCCTCGAACCTGAGAAACAAGGGCTCTGTCCTGTGCCAGCTGAAGCAGGATTACAAGTTTAACAGAGAAGTATAAAATTCTGGTGGTGGTTTGTTTTTTGGTTTTGTTTTTTTTTTTTTTTTTACTTACGATGACTGTTGTCAGTTTTACTGCCTTTAATGTTGAGGAAGAAATTATTATTCAATCCTAACTCACACAAGATGGTTTAAAGAACAATTCCAAGTGGCAAAGACAACCCTTAACCACTGAACTGCAGTGGTCGTTAGAAGAAACTAATATATTTTGCAATTCTAGACATATTTTTACAATACCCTACCTGTAAAATGGAATTATCCAAATATATCCACAAGACCAGACTATTATGTAGCTTCCTCTAGTGGTCAGTCCCTAAAATCTTGTTTCTTCTGCTGTTTACTGTAGTTAATTGTTACATACAAATACTGAAATTCTGTGTTCAAATTTTGTAAAGTTGAGAAGGCCTTAGAGTTTATACTTCAGCTCTCTAATACCAAAGCCAAGGAAATTAAGCCAAAACATATAGCAAAACATTTGTTACTGATATTAAAAGGATAAGCAGTGAAGTCAGCAAAAAGTAGTTAGTATTTTAGTATTCTGATTTGCCCCCCTTGTGAATATGCATTAAAGTATATTTAGTTACATGGTCAAACATAACTTTCCCACCACAAGACTCAGGAAGCAAGACAGATGTTTAGCTTTCAGTTGAGTCTTCAGATATTTGGTATGAATCATCTAAACTTTGTTTTGACCCTGGAATTAGTGTGTGTGTGTGTGTGT